TTTCAAAGAGGAGCAATTGCATTTCTTTTAACAAGCTTGCTCATTTGAAGTTTTTTAGGTGGGATGGAGACCGCCAGCTAGTCATAAGATAATTGCGGTATTAGTTTAACAATGGATCTGATGGGCTTCTTTTGAATGTTGAACTACATTGCAACAATCTGTCATCCGTAAAGTCTGGCAATTCACGCTGGCACTGACTGTGTCTTGTTCTGGACGTATCATCGGGTGTAGGGCGATTCGCACGACCGTAATACTTTCCATGCAGGACCCCGCCGCGCGCGAAACACACTGCGGCGGCTTTTGCCTAAGCAAAACAGGGGGAGGAAAGATTTGCGGCGTGCATTACATGTTAAGACATGTCAAAATCAGGGAGACACTGGAGACCGTCCGTGCGAAAAGACCGTCTCCCCGTATCATCTATTCTATGATTAGGAGACACGTGACCGCATTGCGGACATTGTTTTGACATGTTTGAGTTTGCTTTTTCTTGTTTTCAACGAGTGAATAAACCTGGAGGAGATAAATGACATGTATAAACCCGCTTAGTACACGATCAAGCTTGTTTAGAATGTGTGCAATGAAGTCTCGCGCCTCCTAGTCATAGAATGAGTGATATTCTCTTTGTACTCATAGCTTTTCAATCTTTTTATGAGATGAAAAAAATAACTGATTAAAATTTTTTGTCAAGCCCGAGTCTAATGCCTGAAGTTTTCACGTTTTACATGCATGTTCTATTCAAAAGGTAATGATCTCAACAGACCTTTTTATATAGTCACAATGCAAAACGACAGCCCGTTGACGGGATAATCCATGTATTACGTGCTTAGACACTATGAAAAAACGTTACAATTTTGCATAAAAGGCCTCAGAAAACGTAGAGGACATCTTAGCTTTGTATAGCTAATTGCAATTCTTACTTTCCCGAATCTGATCCTTTCTAACATTAAATGCGCATAATGCTGTGAAGTCAAGAAGAAATCTTTGTGATGTTAGATTACCCCAAAAGTAAAGCATATTCGTAAACAAATCGAACCGTTTTCATTTTCTTGGCAGTAGGATATCTTACGATACAAAAGCAAGCTCTACAGGATCATCTTCAAAGATCCGCCTAAGTCGTATTCAGGTAAAACTCTAAAAATTTCAAAAAAAAATTTATCATTGGAAAAATGGATTTTTGCGAAGAAAAACCGGATTCCAAACTTTTGAATTGCACTTGATTGCTTTTCGGGGCTGTGAACAGATTGCTGCCACGCGGGACTTACACCAACGCACGCACAGTGAGCAACCTCAAACTTGGGTAATTAAACTTTATTATTAGGAAGGTAAAAAACAATATGCGTTAACGAAACATCAAAACAAACTAAACATAATAAACTAATCTAAAGGCAACTAAAGGACCTAAGCCTAGACTAGCCTAAAGACAATTATTTGATCTGTGGCTAGAGCAAAAAAGACTGTAAGAACAAGGCAAAACAATCGAACCCGCTACAACCAAGAACAGCGCAGGCGAAAGGATGTTCAATACTGTGACATCTCTACGAAGAAGAGAATCATGAAATAATAGGACTGTGAATAAGTAGAAAATGAGTAAGTACTGTGTTTAGTAAAGCTTTATCATTGCAAAAGTAACTTTTGGGTCTGTGGCTGTGCAGTTTATCCAAGAGGCTGTGATCTACGAAACAAGCAACAAACAAATTAATAAGATGAATAGAAGGAACAAGAGAAGAAAGCAAAGTAAGAAAATAGGAAAATAAATTTTACACGCGTACATTGAATTTGCTGTGTCTTATTATCGACTTATATATCGAAAGCGTTGGAATTATAAACAAAGGTCATCGGGTCTGTGAAAGCTACTGATAAGCTGCAAATGGTGTTATATTTCTTCTATCACATTCTCCGTGGCTAAAAGAACAATACGAACATTGAGTTCTATAACTTTGCCATAACACATCAGACACGCAGTGGTATTCAAATATGCCTTTTATCGGATTCTTCCTGCGAAAGCGAGAAAAAAGTTAGTCCAAAAATGGCAAACTCCGCTCTCAGTCCCTCCTACATATGTCATCGTATACTGCATTAGCAAGTATAATCTCAAAATCATTCTTCTACATGCGCCCAGGTGATCGAGAAATGACAAATTCGACATTAAAAATCTGAAAAAAGTGACATTTTTGCATTTTCGGACCTTCTCAGTTTGTCAATTTTGAGCTTTGGAAAAATTCATCAAGTTCTTTTCTGAATACTATAATGTGTTATTTGTATGATGATCAAGTGGGATATCCGTAATTCTCGGAAGGAGATTCGTTTTTAGACTAGTTGAATACCTTTGATTTTTGGATCTAAGTTTTACCTGCATTACGACCTAGGTAGATCTCTGATGGTAATTCCGTAGAGCTTGCTTCGCTCGTCGAATGGTAGTGCAAGTGTGCTAGGAAAACAAAAAGCACTTTGATTCATTCAAAAATAGGGTTAACTTTTGAGACAGCCTAATATTTTGTTGAACCTATGTTTGTTGTTGTTTTGAGTAGATTTCAATAGTTATTTAAAATGCTTGTAAATTTTTCAGATGGTTCTACTATTACTGTTAATAGTGTCGTACGTCGCAGCCTTCAAGAACATCTCTATAGGTAGTTTTGGAAAGCACTTTGGCTTAGACGTTCAATAGAAGTTTGAGAATGTACTCTAGTTCACATTGCATTCGTAGTAACCTCAAAACTATCAGAACTGTTATATTTTCCAACTTTCAGAGAAGTTCAAATCACTTCCGATTCCCGAGTTCGCTACGCATCTGGCTGGTAAGGAGTTGATTGACTACATCAACGCCAATCAACCATTTTTTGAGGTATTATAAAAACCAAAGCATACGAACACGTCCCTTTCAGTTTCGAACTCAACTAAGCGAGATCTGTCGTGTAGAAAAAAGATTAGGTTCTGTGCAACAGCTTATGTGCATGTGTTTCAATAGGAACAATCGGCTAGCTTGGATTTGTAAGAAAGAAATTAGATATCTCGCGAAACATTCAAATTTGATTTCATTCCTGGTAATTCTCATGCTAGTCTCGCTTTGGTCTCAAAATGCATGACGTTGAGGGTCGAACGCGAACTTTCGAATAAAGGCAGTGTGCAAGCTAAACTGTCTAATTCCTCCAACTGGTGCCGATCTTCGATGTAGGCCTCAGAAAAGGGGCATCTGCGCGTTGGTCCGGTCCTCTACTGTTGTCTCTGAATGGAGATAATGGGCCTGAAACAGCCAAAGTGCTATCAAGCCCCGCCCAGATTGCTCGGCCCATCTATGTACCATGTACTGAAAGCGGTTCGCACTCTCAAGACAAGGGCTCCAGGAATCGGGTTTTTTGCGGTACAATTTGAACTTCATACTGTAATCAGGGCCACGGAAAGACCCTGGGATGGCAAAGACATAGGAGGCGAAGTTTTGGATGGCTTCAAACTTTAAATGCTTTGAAAAATCTGTATGACCAGGTATGACGCTATTGCGACATACACAAAGTTGAAAAATTATTGTTAAATTAAAGTCACAGAATTTTATTCGAATTTTTTGATATTATGCTTGCAGATATAGTTTTTGAGTGCCTTTTCGTCTAAGTTTTAGAGATCAAGAGCTGAAAAAAATATTTGAGGATTCAGGCAAGGCTAGACCTCGAATGCTTAACTCCTATTAGCTACCCAGGCTATCTGATTCATATTCCTGAAATGAACGAAGAGATATGAAAAGCATTTGGAGCACTCCGTAATGAACTAGAAAGAATTAGATCACTAATAATGCATTTTAAAGATTTTGTATAAGAAATAATTTTGTAATGTGTAGAAATGTTTTGCGATTGAAAACAAGTGAAGCATGCGAGATCAAAACACGCTAATTTTTTTTTAGAAATTTACTTTGCCCCGTTTAGGCCGGGGAGTCTAAGCTGTCCTACAATGAGTTCAAATCACGTTTGATGCAGGAAAAATATCTGAAAATTGATGAATCACTGCGATTGGCAGGACAAGACTTCTATGAAGACATTCCAGAAAGGTGAGTCATTTTTCTCTTTTATGCTTTTTTAGCAGTCTTTAAAATTGAAGTTTCGACGCCCTAGAGCAGTGGCCGCATTGTAAATCTATCCAAACCGTGCGCGATCAGGCAAACTGCGGTAGCGTTCTTAATCGTTCTCTAATATAAGCGAATTCATTCTAGTTATTATAGGTTCGTGCTGGGCCGTTTCCTCCGCGTCAGCCATGTCGGATAGATTATGCATTGCTAATAAGGGACGAAACCAGGTTCGACGTATGAAATTTATCAACTTGCTGGATTACGTTGTTACAGACTTTTATTTCCGACACTGATATTCTTTCATGCTGCAAATACTGTGGATACGGGTATGTTTAAGGGTGAAGGCATCTGTAAAGTTAAAAAAACGACTAATTTATGCGATATATCTTGAATAAGTAGTTACCTAATAGAATTTCTTTCTGTTATCTTATAGATGTGATGGTGGTTATATGATTGAATCATGGTACTACTTAAAGACAACTGGAGCCTGCTCTGGTGGACCTTACGGAACTACGGTAAGAACAGTAGTAAATAGTTAATGAATGTAACCTTTGATTTGACTGGCTTTGCTTCGGGAAGGCGGGGCTTTGTGACCTAATTGAAACTGCTCGCGCCCGCAACGCAGTCTGCGTCTCTTTCGCGCGAGTGCTCTGTGATTATTACCAAGCCTTAATTAGGTCACGAAGCCTCGTCTTCCCTAAGCCAAGCCAGTTGAATTAAATGATACGTGTGTTTATACTAGGGCAACTGCAAACCATATGCATTCCATCCGTGTGGGTACCATGAGGATCAGACATATTATGGAGAATGTGAGAAGGCCAATGAGGATACACCAGCATGCAGAGCAAAGTGCCAAACGGGGTACAGCAAGGCATACGCAAGGGACAAAATTTATGGAAAGTCCTATGAATGAGGTTACCATAATTCGTAACACCGTCGTAATGTTTCAGGAAAGAGTGCCTATTACGTTGCCAACAATGTGCAAGCGATTCAAAAAGAAATAATGAGTAACGGGCCAGTGGAAGCAGCTTTTATAGTTTATTCAGATTTCGCGTATTACAAGCGCGGGATTTATGTGGTAAGAAAGATTAATGTGCTTACATTATTCATCATAATGCAATCATTGAAATAATGAAGCGCTGTATTTTGAGCATGAGGGAAAATCTCATTTGTTCATAAACGTTCTTACCACCACAATCACGTTTGCATGCTTAAGCAGTGCTCGAAAAACCAACAATTAAAAAAACATTTACCACATAGAAAAGCCAGTCACTTGTGAAAAACTTCATCATAAAAAAGTTAGAAAACTTTATGCTTATATGCTGATCTTGGCTTATTGGCCGAAAAGGTTGAACAAATAGCATATCTTAGTGTTTTTTAGCATACCGCAGGCAAGAACGAGGGAGGTCATGCTATCAAAATTATCGGATGGGGCATAGAAAAAGGAATCCCTTACTGGACAATAGCAAACTCATGGAATCTCGACTGGGGTGAAAAAGGTAATTTAGAATTGTTAGTATATTAACGCAATTGTTTTTCTCTATAGGGCACTTTCGAATCCTACGTGGAAGGAACGAATGCGGCATCGAACAGGAAGTCACTGCTGGTCTACTGAAAGCTTGAAATCGGAGATTGTTACTGTAAATGTACATAGTATTTCTATAGATGTACATAGTTTCAAGGGCTACCAGTCATTTGTAAATTTTATAGTTTTTTCCGGTGTAGTACATCTGGACTGTGTATAAATAGCATTATAAATATTTTAATAGACTTATGGAATTGCAAAAAACCTTAATAGGGCTGGCACAGCATTTTAAAAGCTTACTTCTCGTCTATGTTGCTTTCAGAAGCCCAGATTGCTGTGGTAGTTTTCATACCCGATTTTTCGACTAGGTGCATCACATTATTAGATTGAAATTATTAGATTGATTATTAGTGTGGCATCACATGCTATCGGGCGGAAGTAAACATATAAACACGAAAAAGAGTGAGCGGCTGTCGTTTGGCAAAGCATGGTCTACAAGCTGGCATTCAGCTTCCGCGCAGACTTTGGTTCACTCAAAATTTGTACTTTTATTTATTTGAAGCTTGAAGCCAAAGTATAAGAAAATTCAGATTTCCAAATTTTATTCCCCATAAAAACCTCTATGGATCTCCATTCACACATGCATGTGCTTTCCACATTGGAAATCTAGGTGAGAAACATGCGAAACGTTTCCATAGATACATTACCAAAGACAATAGCTCGAAAATACGCGCTGACTTGGAATTTTTCAAGAACTAGCCTTTCTAGAAAGCTGCAAAAATGTTACACTTACGAAGGTTTGACTATGAAATCAGAAAAGCCCAAAATATTTTTGACAAAAGCATCTAGAATAAATTTTCTCGTTTTCTGGTTGCATAAAAATCACCAATTTACGCATGCGAGCGTTTAAGGTTCGTATAGAGTGTGTGCACGAGCAAGTTGGGATGTTTCTAACGAGGGAAGGATACCAGGTCGCAGTGGCAAACCAAAAGCTATGCATATCATTAGATGTTGATAAGCTGATTCCAAATTTACCTTCCTTATCTGGCAAGCGCTTCCCAGAAGAAGCTAAAGGAGGTCAAAGGTGTTATTGGGGTTTTGCTGCGTAATGTGCTTTGTACACCATCTTTGGAGTAATTAATTGGCATGGCTGAGTGTTTGACTATGCAAGTGAGTGCATTGACTAAGTAATGCATACATACACCAAACACATAAACTGTGTTTTGAACAAGTAGTTCTTGAAGATGTGTCACTGAATGTCCGCCAAATTTGGACATACAAACGCTCATAAGTTCTTTTAAGAAGACCTTAGCAGATATGGAAGGTAGATTTAAAATCAGCTTCAAAGACTCATCTAACGATATGAATATCATTTCGGTTCGCCACTGCGTCCTTGTCATCCTTGTAAGATTTATTGGACGACCATTCTTCTTCCAGGCATACAAACCCTTAAAATTTGGCTAACAAGGGAGGTGTTTTCGGTCGAAGTGGCCTTTTCAAATGAAATTGATACGACTATAAAGAGCATCAAACGCTGATTCCAAATCTGTCTTCGTTATCTGCCGAGCTCCTCTAGACGTCAAGTTATGAATATTTTCTTGGTGCGAAAAAATGAACGCATAATCTAAGTAAAATTTAATTTTACGATCTTCTCAGCGCTCAAATAGAGCAGTGTTAAGTATGAATGCTTTGGATAAAAGATATTGTTTAAATAAAGTGCTTTGATCAACTTGGACCATTTGAGCAATTCTGACGAATATTGTCCTAGGTATGCATTTGTTGTAGATAAATCGTCTAATAGATCGTCAACGGCTCAACGCGTTCCACTACTACAACTGGCGATCAGGATCAAGGACAAGAAGCCTCCCCCGACCAAGGACCAGAAGAAACTGCAGGGACCAAGGTCCAGAAGCCTCCACCAATCAAGGACAAGAAGAATTGCTGCAGCCGGATCGAGGAGGAAGCTGTCACAAGTCGAGGACAGCCAAACAAGTAAGCTCTGCTAAGAAGATTATCGACTCAACAGAAGAAGTCGTTGAGGAGAGGTCCACCATGCCGAAAGCCAGTGAAGAACGGCATGGTCACGACTCCTTAGAGAAGGTCCTATCAGTCATGGTCGACCAGATGCGGCTCCAACAGGAGGAAATGAAGCTGCATATGCAGCTTCAACAGGAACAAATGCAAGCTCGACTACAAGCCCAGCAGGAACAACTACAGATGCAGCTGCAAGCTCAGCAAGAGCAAATGAGGACGCTGATTTCCACCCTAGTCAGTAGTCAGGGAGCCGTCCAGGACACCAGCAAGGATCAGTACGATCAGCTGAGTAAGGACATGCAAAGGTTCGTCTCAGACGAAGAAACAGTTAACACCTTTGCGTACTGCTATGGCAGGTACGGACCGGTTATACGCGACTCCCAGCTTTCGGATCAGAAGAAGCGCGACTTAATCCTAATGAAGCTGGATGAAGAAGCATACCGGAAGTATGCTGATGGGGTCTTGCCTGCGCAACCTATCGACTTGGACTTCGACACCACCGTCGCGAATCTCCAGAAGCTGTTCGCCTCCAAGAAGACGCTCATCAGGAGACGGTATGAGTGCCTGAGGATAACCTGCTCTCCGCTTACTCCAGCGTACGTACCATTTCGCGAGTACGCCAATACCATCAAGCGAATGGACGAGGATGCCCGGCTTAAGGAGGTCGACTAAACGGCGATGAAAACGCTGCAGTTCGTAGCTCTTCAGGATCCCTCACTTAGGGAAGTTCGCCTTCGGATGATTTGTCGACTAGACGCTCACAAGGACGAAGCACCGTTGACAATCGAGGACCTAGTCGCGGAATGTGAGAATTTCACTGCTTTGAAAATGGATAACACGGACATGGAAGGAACGCGCAACATTCAAGCTGTCTGGAAGAAGAAGGTAAATTGCTTCATCTGCGGAGGACCACATTTCAGAAGAGAGTGCTTTCAATCTGACAGCACTGGTCGGAAGAAGCCGGACATAACCCTGATATCGCGTAGAGTTTGGAAGAAGATGGGATCCCCTGCTTTGGAAACCTGTAGTATGCCAGTCAAAACTGCAGGCGGGACGTCGATGCAGATTTACGGTAAATTTCAAACCAATTTCTTAGTAAAAGATCGACATATAGGGAAGATGGTTCATGAAAAGGGCACATGCTACGTCACCTAAGGCTCGAACTTACTTGATTGGAGTGGTGTATTCAGCTGCCGGCATATAAGAAGCTGAGGGACATCTACCACTGCAGGAAGGTGACTAGCGAAAAAAATTTCGAGCCGAAGTGGTCGCCGATTTGAAGGAGCGATATGCAGAAGTCTTCAACAGCGATCCGGGGAAATGCACGAAGAGCAAGGCAAGGCTAGTTTTGAAGAGTGATGCTGTTCCAGTTTTCAAGAAGAAGCGACCGGTGCCATACGCGACAGCACCGGAATTGGAAGCCGAGATCGATCGCTTGGCAGCCGAAGGAGTCATTTCTCCGGTCGAACACTCAGAATGGGCCGCACCGGTGGTTGCTGTCAAAAGAAGAACGGGAAAATCCGTCTTTGTGCCGACTTCTCGACAGGATTGAACGATGCATTGCAATTGCATCAGCACCCATTGCCCACAGGGGAGGAAGTGTTCGCAAAACTAAATGGAGGCCAGCTCTTTACACAGCTCGACTTAGCCGAAGCGTATTTACAAGTGGAAGTCGAAGAAGCATCAAAGGAGATGTTAACCATCAAAACGCACAAGGGATTATCGCTACAATCGCCTACCCTTTGGGGTGAAATCTGCGCCAGGAATTTTCCAACAAGTAATGGACTCCATGATAAGCGGACTTGATGGAGTAGCCGCTTATCTTGATGACATCATCATCACGGGAAGGAGTTGTGAAGAACACCGCCAAAACTTGAAAGCCTTGTTTAAGAGAATCAAGGACTATGGATTCCACGTCAGGTTGGAAAAATGCCATTTTCTGATGCCAAAGATTTGTTACTTAGGGTGCATCATCGACAAAAATGGACGCCGGCCGGACCCAAAGAAGATTGAGGTCATACAGCAAATGCCAGCGCCGAAGAACATAGCGGATGTTCGTTCATTCCTGGGCATGATCAAACTATGGATTATTTGTGGCCGAGATGCGTCAACTTTGTGCACCCCTGGACGCGTTGCTCAGAAAGGATGCAAGGTTCGAATGGACAGAGGAATGCCAAATGCATTCGAGCGTGCTAAGGAAGTTTTAGCCTCTGACCTACTTCTTACACATTTCGATCCTAGCTTGCAGATAGTGGTAGCTGCAGACGCATCGGATTACGGAATTGGAGCTGTGATCTTACACAAGATGCCGGATGGATCGGAAAAGGCGATTTGCCATGCAAGCCGGAGCCTCACAGCCGCCGAGAGAAATTACGGACAAATTGAAAAAGAAGGACTTGCACTGGTTTTCGCGGTGCGTAAGTTCCATCGATATATATATATATATATATATATGGACGCCGATCCAGGCTGCTCACCGACCACAAGCCGCTGTTGCACATTTTTGGACCGAAGAAGATGGTACCGGTGTACACAGCGAACAGATTGCAACGATGGAAACTTATTCTTCTCGCATACGACTTCGATTTGGAGTACCAGAAGACGACCGAATTCGGGCAAGCGGATGCATTGTCTCGACTGATCCCTCCACGTCCATTTCAAACCGAAGACGTCGTAATCGCGAAGATAGAAGAAGATGTGCAAGCCCTTCAAGCTGAGGCTGTACGAGCGCTACCAGTGACCAGGAGTAAGATTGAAGATACAAACGCTACATTCAAGAACATGGCCGTCCAAGCCAAAAGGAGACATCGGAAACTGGAGAGCACTGAACGAGAGTTTATCGGTGCAAAATGGATGTTTGTACTTTGGTCACAGAATAGTTATTCCAACCTCGCTGCGACAAGTGGTTTTGAAGCACTTACACGAGGGACACCCTGGAATGACAAGGATGAAGATGCTCGCGAGAGGATTCGCATACTGGATGGGTATCAACAGAGACATCGAAGACTCAGTGCGCCTCTGTAGGGAATGTCAAGAAGCAGCCAAGATGCCAGTGAAGACTGTTCTGCATTC